ATTTACAAATGATGCTTGCTTAAGTGAAGCTGCAAATCGAACGCCCAGCGTTTAATAGAGCTCTGTGATTGGTTCGTGTGTCACCCTGTGCGTCCACGCGTACTCTGAGAGCTCATCTATAGTAATGTTTGTGAATACGGGCGCAAATGTCCCAATTTTTTACAGCGCCTTAGTGACAACCTATTGGAGTGAACATTTTGTCACTTTCTTACCAGAGCCAGAAAGGGGGTTATTAAATGTAGCAAACTTGAGATACCGTTCCGCAGATCTACCCGTATCATAACCCATATTTTTGTGTGCTTTGAATTCCGCAACGATGGCCATTTTACCATCAAACCGTCAAATTGTCCCAATGTCCCGATTATCCACGGCTCCTTCGAACCATTTCACGCCACTCCTGCGCATCTGGCCTGTGAAATTGGACGAGACAGCTGTTGTTTGAGTGGTTGACGTTGGCGACAAATTGTTGCTATGGACAATTGGACAACACTACTTTTAAAATAACATAAATGCAAATTCGAATTCGATTTTTTTAAGTAGGCCTTAAAAACCCTTTTACACGTCCCAGCACTACTTTAACCCTACCACTGCAGCACTGCTTCGGGACAATAAAGGTACAATTCCAAAACTGACCGCAAAATGCAACTGACCGCAAAAAAAAAAAAACGCGGCGCGCGCCGCAGCTGCAAGCCGCGCTGCAGATTTCATAGAGTTTTGCAGTTTGCGGTTGCAGTTTGCGGTCTGCGGCCCGTCTTAGAATTGTACCTTAAATGGGCCAGTGCTGAGAAGAAGCAGCGCAAGAAACTCAGTGGCTGACGAACATTAATTGCGTTTTCTAGTTACCATAAACGCATAAAAGTCGCAGAAAAGCAAAGTCCGTATTTACGTTTCATCATCATTATCATTTTAGCCATAGGACGTCCACTGCTGAACATCCCCCAATGATTTCCACAATGGCCGGTTGGTGGCGGCCTCTAACCAGCGCCTTCCAGCTTATACCTTTATGAGGTCGTCGGTCCACCTTGTGGGTGGACGTCTTACGCTACGTTTTCCGGTACGTGGCCTCCACTCCAGAACTTTGCTGCCCCATCGGCCATCGGTATTTACGTTTACGTTGACATAATTATTATCTTTTCCAAAAGATACAAAAATACATTAACTCACCTTCAGGCGCAGTCGAGTAAAGCAGCATTATATGTAGCTTGATCTTTCACATAAATCTATACTAATATCTATGATACTTATAATATTATAAGTGCAAAAGTAACTTTGTCTGTCTGTCTGTCTCGCTTTCACGCCTAAACCACTGAACCGATTTGGATGAAATTTGGCATAGAGATAGTTTGAGTCCCGGGAAAGGACATAGAATAGTTTTTATCCCGGTTTTTGAAACAGGGACGCGCGCGATAAAGTTTTTCTGTGACAGACAAAATTTCACGCGGGCAACGCCGCGGGCGGAAAGCTGGTATAGAATAATTAAAATGTGACTGAAATTGAAAGTGATCAATCATCTAAGTTAAGATGGGATTTTACATCTAATGTTTCAGAATTATAAAAAAAAAAAAACTACGGGTCGAAACAATGTAAAATTTTCAGGAAACTTTAGAGACTGATCGTTCAGGTAATAACATTTTTGTTATTGGAATTGATTAAAACAATTACGGAAGATATCGACGTATAAATTAGGAAAATCAATAATGTGACTGCGTGTTTTTATGATTATGAATAAACTACAGAACCAATTCGTGTTGCCAATTAAAGATAGCTTTTTTTGTTATCCTAGATTCAATCTACACACCATCTATCTTTTAGATACCAAAATGATACAAAATAAGATCAGCAGCTAGACGTGAAAACGGTAGAGACATTCCTTTTTCATCTTTAATATTCGTTTGTTTTAAAATAATCTAAGTTTTTTTACAGAACAAGAACAATGGACGAAAATCATAATAACAAAGAATTAGGTCTTGAAATATATGTATCTCTTAAGTATGGATCATTAGTGTTGTTGTGGATATAAATTTAAAAGAGACTCGCAAGAAATACAAAGTAAAGGCAAAAAACGTAAAGCAAATATTTAGAATTTTCACACGAATTTGTATTCACAGTTTTCCTTGTACCTTTTTAGGGATTCTATAAAACATTTCAACACCGTCGGTGCGAACATTTAGCTGAGAACGTACGTGACCGAAATGATTTTTAACCAATATTTATCGATAAGCGATCCGATTACAATTGCATTCTCGATACTCGATTTAACACAGCCGCCGATTTTGGAACGCACTATTTACGAATGCGTTCCATATTTAAAATTCAGAGCGCGGGAGACTGGCGGGAACCAAGCTTTATGTGTCTACAAATTTATTTTTACACATATTTTTTTAACTACACTCGTTTTGCTATAAGAATAGAGGCTATAATTCTTTTTTGTGGCTGCACTTGATTTGTTATTTATGTTTTTACAAGTCAGTCTGTCAACATGTCTATGTCAAAGCATTTTAAACCTTGCGACGTCGTCGTAAAGTTGGTTTATTTATTTGCATCACGATGCAGTGTTTTTACAATTCATTTAGCGTTTTGCGATAACTGTCAATGGCGGTCGAGTCGGCCATAAGAAATAAATGTATTTATTTGCCGAAGAGATTGGTTTTATGGCGCTTTTTCGAGGAAATTGCACAAATGTACGCATGAATACGTGTTTAGGTAAGACGTTTTTACCTATCTAAATAGGTTTCACATCATGTAATTTATTAGTTTTTGGTCAAATTAGGACTTTCCAGGTGATTGTTTTTAAACTTGGGCCTTACCTACTGAAAAAATGATTGAATACAATCATTTTAGTGTTCTCAAAAGGGCTCTTAAATCAGTTTGGTATAGGATAGTTATTATTGTGACAGAATTTCTAAGTTGCTGCCACAAAAGTGCTATTGGGCCGGTTTCCACCAAAGCGAAAGGAGATGTGTTGGAATAAACCAATCACATAACGAAACTCTCTTCTCCTCTCGATTTTAGTGGAAACCGGGTCTTAGAGTAGGCGCACACCGTTGATTTTTAGTTGGCCGATAGTTGTGCTAAAATGATGATGATGATGATTAAACTAAGTACATTATTTCAGGCAGTCAGTAGGTACGAGGTTTTCCGGGTCAGCTAGTTACTTTCAGAGTCTTTAATCAGCTTCCTATTGTGACCGACCCCACATCAAATACACCTAAACCCCAAAAAAAAGACCCGCACAGTTTAACGATGACGCGATCGACTTTTTTACGATTGAAATCGTCAAGAAAATCGTCAAAACACTTCGTCCGTCAGGCGATAAAAGCGCGCCAAGTCAGCGCCCCGCCCACTGCCTGTTTCGCTGACCATAGAGCATAGATGAGGTTTGTTTTTTTCCGGCAAATTAGTGAGGGGAGTTTTTGTTTGTTTTTCTTTGGCACATTGGATAAGGAATAAAATTGGTTGGTGTTTTTCTGAATTTAATACCTATTTAATACTACATATATTCGAAAGAAACTGAACCAGGCTATTTTTTCTATGATAGACTGAAGGGTAATATAACGCGGGCGAAGCGGGTAAAAACTAAGTAGATAATTACAATAATCTAACTCTCTTTAAGGCCATTTTCATGTGAACTTCGTTTAAACCAGAACAGGATAGTGATACTGCTCTACAATAATATTTAATACTGGTTTACCAAAGCCATATTTTAATTAGCTGAGTGGGCGAGGCTACCTGAAGTCCTTCTGTATGATTTGAACGCTAAGTTTGTGTAATGTAATTTAATATTTGCCAAATTACGGTATTAAGTACCAGATCAGTGTTTTTCTTTTTCTTCATCCATTTTCATGACACGACCCCTCTAAAAATATATTGCGACCCCCTGATCATTTGCTTTTTTTTCATGCATTTTAGAATGTTCCAAAGACGTTGTAGGGATCGCATACAATCCACACAACATTTACGTATTTGCATAATTAGATTTCGGATAAATCTGTCTTTAAAACTTTACTGTTTTTTTTAATATGGTAGTTTTTACGACCTCTCGCGACCCCTATAGAGGCTAAAAACCCTGTTATAGAGAGACCAAAATTAGAGTCACTTCTGCCATTTTTTCTCAGCACCAGCTGATTTATATTGTTCCGAAGTGGTGGTAGGGCAAGTTATTATCAGACGGGTCGTGTAATCATCATCATCTCGGCCATAGGACGTCCACTGCTGAACATAGGCCTCCCCCAATGCTTTCCATGTTGATCGATTGGTAGAGGCCTGCGTCCAGCGCCTTCCTGCTACCTTATGATGTTGTCGGTCCACCTTGTTGGTGGACGTTGCACGCTGCGTTTTCCGGTACGCGGCCTCCACTCCAGAACCTTGCTGCCCCATCGGCCGTCAGTTCTGCGTACTATGTGCCCTATGGGTCGTGTATAAGTGCCTTGAAAAGGCCTACATACAAATAAAGATTTTGAAGTTGAGAGAGCATAAGTGATTTATTGATGACCATAATTTTATTTCTCTTTTAATAATAAAATCAATTGGTCTAAGTTAAAGCCAATCTTAGCGACGTATCATTCATCCCCAATTAGTTATTAAGCATCTGACAAAACGTGAAAAACCTATAGTCCCCACTTTCCTACTTTTATAAACAAACATCATTAAAAATTTCTTAAAGATTAGAGTCGCTTCTCAAACGCAGCCATAACAGTGTATTACACTTGAAAATTTCGACAGGTTCATCCAGTGTCTAAGTAGCTCAGTTATTGCTCTAAGAGCAGTCTATTGTTTTAAACTTTAATGGTCACTAACATAATAATTATTATATACGGGCTTGCTACCGTGTACCTTAATTTTGAGTTTCCGATATTTCGGCACTGTTCCAAGCGCCATGGTCACGAAGTAACTGAGTAACTTATTATAAGAGCACTCGCCCGGCAAGTGAAAGGATTTCCGCCTTAGGCAGTTAGATTTTTTCAAGTTGTTTATTTTAAAAAGACCCTCCTTGTCTCCAGGAAACGACTCGGAGCCCGATCCCGAAGACTCCAGCGACACTCCTCGCGAGGGAAGCAAAGCACGAAGACGCCGCACCGCCTTCACGTCAGAACAGCTGCTGGAGTTGGAGAGAGAGTTCCACGCGAAGAAGTACCTTAGTCTGACGGAGCGGTCGCAGATAGCTGCAGCGCTTAAACTTAGTGAAGTCCAGGTTGGTATATACCTCATAGACATAGCCCAACGGTGTCAGTGTCGGACTAGCCAACTCGTGATCAGAGAAACGCTGGAACCCTTTTTTTTCGGGGAAAAAATGCATTGAATTGCATACCTACCCTGCGGGGACAGGGTAGGTTAAGTGGGGCTCACCAAGTCAGAAGAACAAAGGCATACCCACTAAAAAGACCCCGGTGCTCCATCATTTGCCTGAAGTGGGAAGGAATTGTGGGATTCCGGACAAAGCCTTCACTACTATAGTCCCTCCCGGGCTACCCCAGTCCTTCCCGGAAACGCTGGAACCCTGCAGTAAGCCATTCGTAACACTAGCATGATATTTCGCTGAGCACGAGGGGTTACTGGTTAAAAAAACAGTTCAGAGATTAATCAGCTAGTCTACTGTGACTACCTTCTTTATATCCTCCGCAGGCAGCCTAATTTCTGGTACACGCTCTAAGAGAAATTCAGCAATGTTGCTCAATTGGATAAAGGCACAACTCAAAATAATCCATAATCAAGTTATTGCGATTATGAAAATTTGCGTCTGTAAGATGTCTGCTAAACCAACTATAGGTTACTAGGCTATAACTCTTATTTAAGTACGAAAGAAAGCAGCTGTCGATTAACTTATTTTCTTACCCTGTATCTTTCTTTTCAGGTAAAAATCTGGTTCCAAAACCGGCGAGCGAAGTGGAAACGGGTAAAAGCGGGCCTCGCCTCCGGCAGCCATTCCGGCAGCAAGAACGGTTCCGGCACCAAGATCGTGGTACCAATACCGGTTCACGTCAACCGGTTCGCAGTGCGCACACAACATCACCAGATGGAGAAGCAAAATTTGCAATACCGATTGGACAGAACGCAACCGCTCGCAGGCAGTCTGCTCCAATCGCAAACATCAGCATTTTTGAACACGTCGAAAATACAACCGGATAATCGAGAACCGATTCTAAATCCGCTAAGTCGCAGCACTATTTACGACGCGAGCATGTCCGCCAGGTTGGCAACAATGAGCCAAGCTGCCAACCTGAGGCACTTCAATCAAAATGGCCGGCCGAGCTAGATTTTGCTTTTCGATTTTTGAATGGACCAGAATTTAGGATAGGTGGATAGAATTATTTTCTGAAACAAGTCTTGCTGCGAAGGCAGAGGTTTCGAATGGACAAATCCGTCAGCTGTACTTGATTATGACTTTGAGGTCTATTTTTTGCTCTACTAAAGAAGTGAATGCATTGGTTGATAAAAAGGCGGCTGGAAACCTGAATGGAAAAAAGAAATTGACATTCAAGTATGAATGGAAGTTCTGCATTGGATCTATAGCAGATGGACCACTTACTCTTATTGAGAAAGTTATGTTCACGCATTATGAATCTAGCAGGCATTGCCTGCCCGGTTGCTGAATTAAACTTTCCAGCTTGAGTTTGCTCATCTTACTCTAAGATTAATCATCTATTCAGACTGAGCGATCTCAAGCTTGAGAAATCACGATGAATAAATAATTAAAGATTTTTTAGACTTATTTTTTAGATTATCTTGAGTTTGAATCAAGTTTTGAGCACAATTCTTAAGGGCTCAGGGCATAGTGAAAAGACTCTACCGAAATCGATTATGTGAAGTGAACTTCGGTTTTAGTAAATGATTCTATCCAGAAACTTGTATCATATTGTTTATTTGTAAGATATTGCCTAAATATTGTGTAAGATTGTGATTAAAGAACTGTGTGATGAGATTTTGTTTTTGCTTTATTAACTTACCCAATTAACTGCAATAGAGTGTCAACGCCAAATACATAAGTAATATTTAACTTGAAAAAGTATCCTTGAAAAGTACGGTGTTCATCCCGTTTCAGACAAAACTAAGCTAAATAAAAGAAAGATCTCACTATAAAAATATAATTTTTTGGACAATCCAAAAAGATCCAATTCCAAGTTGCGGGTCCAATGACAGTTAACTTTCCCCCGGTACAAATTCCAAGTTCAAGTCTAATACAGTTTAACTTTCCTCCGTTTTTTCTCCTCGGACAAACTTGACCTTCACTGGTTGGGTTTTTATTGGCGGTCAAGCTGTAGATCCTGGCTACACAGGAGTTGCAGCGGTGGGAACGTGAAGTGAAAATAGTCCCGTAATCCAAAAAGGTTTTCCTATTTCATGCAGTCGGTTAAATATAGTGTCCTTTTAACCAAACTAAAATAATGCTCACCCTACTCTACAAATCATACAAAAGAACATTCATCGTTCATCTTTATTGAACCAAATGTCAAAGGGCAATCACTAATAGTTTTGCTTGTGACAGTACATTTAGAGTTATCGCCAAACTATTATGCATCTTATTTTGATGAGCATAAAGTCCCTAATAAAATCATTCAAAATTGAACTTTGGTTAGCATGAAATAGGGGAGAAAATAGTTTGGTTTAGTTGTAAAAGGAATAAAAGAATTAGCGAGACACGCCCACAAACAATGTTCAGTAGGGTGACCAAAATAACTTACGCCCGTATTCACAAACATTACTATGAGGTCTCTCAGTGAGCGTGGACGCACAGGGTGACACACGAACCAATCACAGAGCTCTATTCAACGCTGTGTGTTCGATTTGCTGCTTCATTTAAGCAAGCATCGTTTGTGAATACGGGCGTTAAACTAAGATAGAGATATAGTCTATGCCCTGCGCAAATGTATACTTTGCAACAACTGCACACTATAGTGCCTTATTTTCCCCTAAAAATATATTTTCTTAAACGTTACTTAACGTACCTTTGTTTTGTCACTTGCAATCCGCTTTGCACTGGAGGGAAGTCGCACCTTATCTTCAAACCTCTTCTAATTAATTTCGTTGCGGGTCCAATGACAGTTAACTTTCTCCCGGGACAAACTTGACCTTCACTGGTTGGGTTTTTATTGGCGGTCAAGTTGTTGATCCTGGCTACACAGGAGTTGCAGCGGTGGGAATAGTTCCGTGGCTACACAGGAGTTACAGCGGTGGGAACGAGAGGTGGGACTAGTCCAGTTAAAGATCAATCAACACTGGGTAAGCTACGGGAAAATCTAGTGTTATAGGAGATTAATTTTAAAATCATTTTTGCATAAAACTGATTTGAATAAAAACTAAGCTGTAAAATGCATGCATAAAATCGCCAGATGTGCGTTTAATGTGTGAGAGCTAATCTGTGGGCGGGACACATTATGTCACAGAAAGTATAGCAAATTGCTTCAGCGGTCACATTTGTATGAAGTAATTTATGATGCGCATTTTGTGAATGGGAGTGACGATTACTTAGTAGTAATACGCGATTTTGGGGTGGTCTAGTAACTAGTTGTTTAGTTGAACAAAAAGTATGTTAAAGAGATAAATTCCATTTTAATTTCATCTCGTTAAAATAGAATTGGGGGTATCACAACTCTCGCGAAAGGTATTTGCCGTTATTCTGCTATAAAACGACAAAAACATACTATAAGAGTCTACAATATGGACAGACGATCTCATAAAGATAGCAGGAGGCGCAGGATGCTGGCCGCTACCAACCGGCCAATCTGAAAATCATTGGGGAAGATCTATGTTCAGCAGTGGACGTCCTGTGGCTGAAATGATGATGATGATGAACTTAGGTTATTGAAGTTAGTTTTATCGATGACTGCAGGATTCATCTGATGAATCTTACTTTATCTTACGCATGAAATTTTAGATCTCATTTAGATTGTTGTTATACCTAAGTAAAGCTAGTGGTCCCAAGCCCAACTAGACCTCACTTTTCTTGCGCTCACTATCCATCTAGACTTTATAATCTAACCGTAAAAAGTAATGCATCAATGCATCAGAAAGTTGTAAATAATTATGATGATCTCACATTCAATAGTGACTGAGTTTCTTGCGCTGCTTCTTCTCAGCACTGGCCCCTGTATTGTCCCGAAGCAGTGGTAGGGTTAATACTGGGACGTGTAAAAGTGCTTTTTAAAAGCCTATCTGCAAAAATAAATGAGTTTTATGGGTTTTTAATTACATTTTACGTCCATTTCTATGACAATCCACGGTGTTATAGAAACAACTATTACCAAGCAACCATAGGGCCTTATAAAATGAACATTTGCAAAGCCAGATCATTAACGTTCGCAATTATCAAAGACCGCCGGGTGGCGTGTGACATCAACTCTCTGGGGGCGTGGTCGCCATTTTGCAGGGGTCCCGCAAGGCACGACTCCGGGTCCGCTACTGTTTCTGTGTCATGGTTTTAGGGTACGGTAGGAAGATAGAGAGTTAATAGTGCTGACATAGTATGTGACATAGTAATTTACCTATTATAGATTTAGGTACAGTTTCAGAATTGAGATTTCCAGCTAGAGCGTGCTTTCATTCCACTCAGGAATGAATTTAAAATAAAAAGTTCATCAATGATTGAACAAGATCATGCTTTACCCAAAAATTTACACTCAGAAACCGGACCAAAGATATGGTTTTGTCCGGTTATTTATAAGTTATGGTTACACAAAGTGAGTTTTACATTGTATAGTATGTCCCATATCGAAAGTCTGTTTTTACTTTTTACCACATCGGGAAGTTCTTGGTCTGCATCTCACCTGGTGGAAAGTGCTGATAAAGCAGAAGGCAGAAGCGAGTTTCACTTGGAATCTTCAACCACAGAGGAACTGGCTATCATCTACAAAAGTAAGTCTGCAAAAGACTACAAAACTTTTCATGGCGAAACTGCTGAATGATTTCTAATAGATTTTTAAAGTGGCAAAAATGTATAGTCTAGCTATTCCCTAAGTAAGATAAATTATTCTCGTTTTAACCTAATGCTGTCCACTGCTGAATTGCCTCCCCCAAGGATTTCCACAACAGCTGATCCTGCGCTTGCCGCGACCTTCACCAGATCGTCGGTCCTCCTAGTGCGAGGCCTGTCTGCACTACGTTTTCCGGCCCCTTATCTATGGTGGTGGACTAATACCTAATCTATTACCAAAACAATAAAAACATCTACGGAACCCATCGTTACACCTTCGGTTCGTGCTTCACCGCTTTTTATTCACGTCAAACTGTTCTTTGTCATCTGTTTAATTGTTGGACCGTTTTTGCTACGATAGCTTTGTATGGATTTAGTTCATTGTGTTGGGAGGTGTGATCGGGCATTATACAGCGAAATTGATAGTGGGATTAAGGCAGGGTATATTATGTAATTGCTTGGCAAATAAACTTTAACATACTGGCAATTGGTTAGCAAACATACTCGTATTATTTTTACAGTCTGAATATGATGAACAAAGTTGTTTAACGTGAAATACTTTCATAAGATTATGTATGTAAAAATAAAATGTTATAAGCCCTGGCGCGGTCTTAATGTATGCTGCCTTTTTGTCAGAGGGGCACAAGCAGCTATCGGTCCATTTGTGTATCTCTTTCATTATGTACCTACCTATGTCTTTCCTGCTTGTATGTCTTTCTTTCAAATAAAAACTATTCTATTCTATTCTAATAAATTCTCAAATGGCGACCACGGGCAGAAAGACGTAATGTGGACAGACCCACTAGGTAGACCGCCGATCGACGATCTGGTGAAGGTGACAGGACACGGAACACACCTGAAACCCTTCTTTTTCTTTTCGTGCCTACAACAAACCTACACAGTGTCAGCCCAAAACTCCGCCACAAGAGTGGCGTTGTCAGCAGCATTCATTAAACCCTCCTGCGTGCAGTTGCTCGGGCATTCAGGGCACGACATCAGGTGCTTCATCGACTGGGGAACAAAACCGCACCTGCGCTCCATGTTTAAGCCGTCCAAGAATTCCCACCTGTCCAGATTACAGACGTCATTTATTTTTGCTGAAACTGGCTGAAAAAAATGAACGAATGAAAACAATTGGTACCTAAAGTCCGATTTTTAATTCGACGGAACAGAGGTAATAAGCCTTTTTTGCTTTGAATTATTAATAAATAATATGAAATGAAATTTCATCAAGTACAACTTACAAGAATGAACTATTGTTTGTTTTGTGAAATCAATGTAGACTAATTATTATGTACATTTTAGAGATTAAATAGAAAAAAACGTGTTTTTAACACAGTAAAACAACATATTATCATAAACGAAAATATGTATTGATCATCAACCATCATTATCGTCATCATAATCAACTTGGATTATAAAATTGGCATCTTGTTAAATTGGTTATTTTATGAAGCTAAGATTTTATTAACAAAAGGATTTTCATAAAAAAGGTTTGTAACCCATGGATTATTGGCCAGAGAGTCCAGTAATAGAAAAATAATTTCCCAATTATTTTTGTAACTTCAAAAATATGATAATAAAAATTCAAATAACCATTTTGAAATGATCAGTACATTTTTAAGCCTTAGTTTTTCAAGTGAAACCTTAAATTCAAG